GATTTTAAAGCAACAGCTCCGACTGCTGATTTGAAAAGGACAAAAAGTGCTGGGTCTCCATCCTCATGAAAGAAAAGAGGGGAGCTACATGTACATCTGGATTCCTCTTTTCAAAGGGCGAATTGTCCATGGCAATCAGCAGCTAAGGGGCAGCAGAGGATCCCCTCCCTGCAAAAGGACCGTGTCTAATAACCCACAAGGAATTCTTACTCGCTCTAGTTAACTGGGTGAATGAATAGAATAGAATAACAGAGTTGGAAGAGACTTCAGAGGTCTTCTGGTCCAACCCCTGCTCAGGCGGGAAACTCTATACCATTTCAGACAAATCGTTGTCCAATGTTTCTTTAAAAACCTGGTTAATTGCTCTAACTGTCAGGAAGTTTCTCCTTAGTTCTAGGTTGCTTCTCTCCTTGGTTAGTTTCCATCCGTTGCTTCTTGTCCTGCCTTCAGGCACTGTGGAGAATAGCTTGACTCCCTCTTCTTTGGGGCAGCCCCCGAGATATTGGAACACTGCTATCCTGTCCCCCGTGCTTTAGGTCAATCACCAGGAGAGTTTGAGTTCTAGTCCCACCTTAGGCCTTAGGTGACTTTGAGCCAGTCAATCTCTCTCAGCTCAACCCACCTCACAGGGTTGCTGTTTTGCGGAAAATACAATGAAGAAGTTATGCTGGATATGTTTGCCGCCTTGAGTTATTTGTAAAAAATAATAACTGTGTGACTGACTGACTGACTGACTGAATAAATGAATGACTAAATGACTGAATAAATAAATAAGTAAGCAAATAAGTAAGTAAGTAAGTGAATGAATGAATGAATGAATGAATGAATGAATAAATAAATAAATAAATAAATAAATAAATAAATAAATAAATAAATAAATAAATAAATAAATAAATAAATAAATAAGCAAGCAAGCAAGCAAGCAAGCAAGCAAGCAAGCAAGCAAGCAGGCAGATAGGCAGGCAAGCAAGCAAGCAAGCAAGCATAGGCAATGCAAGATTTTACAATATTTGGATAAATAGGTTTCTAGTTTTGCAGACCAATCGTAGCCCAGGAACGAAGCATTCTGCTTGGCTTGTAAAAGTCAATGCCCTCTGCACTTCCCACAATCCATCAGACGGCAGACCTGTTTATGACACCCTGGGAAGCATCTGGAGACGAGGCTTATGTGGCTTAATTGGGTCAGCAATTTGATTTTGTCTAAGGCAGGGGTAGGCCACCTTGGCTCTTTTATGACTCACGGACTTCAACATGAACCATTGGCCAAGCATCTGAATTTTGGTCACGTGATCACGAGGATGCTACAAAGGTTGTAACTGTGAAAAAAATGGCCCTCAGCCACTTTTTTTCAGCGCCGTTGTAACTTCGAACGGTCACTAAATGAACTGTTCTAGGTCAAGGCCTACCTGTGTTCCAACCAGCTTTTTCATGCCAAATAGCGATTCAACCAAACCTAGTCTTGGAAGACTCTGAGATACAGTTTGCCAGTTAGACACAGGGGTAGGCAACCTTGGCTCTTTTATGACTCGTGGACTTCAACTCCCAGAATTCCTGAGCCAGCCATGCTGAGGGGAAAGGGAGAGGATTCCAAGCTGAGCCATGCTGGCTCAGGAATTCTGGGAGTTGAAGTCCACGAGTCATAAAAGAGCCAAGGTTAACTACCCCTGCATCTAACTGGCAAACTCAATGGTGAAGCCAGATTCACTTAACAACTGTGTTACAGCTAGTCCTCAACGTACAATGGTTCGTTTAGTGACCGTTTGAAGTTACAACCACCTTGAAAAAAGTGACTTATGACCATTTGTTACCCACAACCCTTGCTGCAGCTTCCCCAGGGTCATATGACCAAAATTCAGACACTTGGCAACTGACATGTATCGATGACAGTTGCGGCCTCCTGGGGTCATGTGATTCCCTGAATTAGTAACTTAACGACTGCAGTGATTCACTGAACAACTGTACCAAGAAATGTTGTAAAATGGGGCACAACTCCCTTAATAACTCTTTCGCTTAACAATAGAAATTCTGGGTTGAATTGTGGGTCGTAAGTCAAGGACTACCTGTGTAGATTTAGCTCTATTGTCTGTGGATCAAGTCCAAGACAAAGATAGATCCACTGAGTGGCCATCGAGAAAGTCTCAAGCGTAAGTTTTCATCCCACCTGCATAAAATAGATTGGAATGTGTGCTATTAAAATTGTAACAAGAAAAGGTAGCCACTTAATATGGTGGGTCACAGAATAAGATCTTCAGACTAGATGTGATATTTTTGTCCACCTATTGAGACCTTACCATGGACCTGGGACAGGCAGATGTGGATATTTGATGGTATTACAGATATTGTCACAGGATGGAAGCAATTCCTAGTAAGGCTGCCTTTTGCAATTGACTAATGGCAAATTTGTCAATGCCGATGGTGTTCAAGTAGTGCTCCAGTTGTTATGGGATTGCACACAAGCCCCCTATTATTGTTGGTATTACCTTTGCTTGCTATTCTATTTCTATTTGCATTTTGTTATCATCTCCAGTTCTTTCTCTTCTATTCTGCTGTCTCTAGGTACTGCCACGTCCACTATCCAGACTTTTTTGTCTTTCTTATTAACAGTTGTTAAGTCCGGGGTGTTACTGTATGTGGCAAGTACTTCTCTGTTTTTGACACATAATACCCCGGCCTTAACAATTGTCGATATTATTATTGTTGTTGTTGTTATTGTTATTAATCTTTGCACAGTCAGCCAGACGTTCAGACTGGATTTGGCATTTTTGTCTACCTGTCGAGACCTTACCAAGGACCTGGGACAGGCAGATGTGGATATTTGATGGTATTACAGATATCGTCGTAGGATGGAAGCAGTTCCTAGTAAAGCCGCCTTTTGCAATTGACTAATGGCAAACTTGTCAATGCCAATGGTGTTTAAGTGGTGCTGCAGTTGTTTGGGCATTGCACCCAAGGCGCCTATTAATATTAGTCCTACCCTTGCTTGCCTTTGCCACAGTTGTTCTATTTGCAGGTCTTTGTATTTTGTTATTGTCTCCAATTCTTTCTCTTCTCTTCCACTGTCTCCAAGTACTGCCACGTCCACCATTCAGACTTTTTGTCTTCCTTATTGACAAATTGTTAAGTCTGTGGTGTTACATGGCAGGCACCTGTTCTGGTTGAATTCTAAAGTCCCAGAGCACATCTATGACTTTCTTTATTTTAGGGTCCCACCAGTTCTTGCATGCAGGCAAATAGTATTTCTTGCAAACCTTCCAATGCACCATTGTTGCTACTTTGTCATGCCGCTGCTTGTAGTCAGTCTGTGCTGATTAGTTGATCCGCTGTTTCTTCAGCTTCTTTGTAGAGACGGCATTTGCTGTCTGTCACTGTCTTCTCATTCTCATTATTATTTATTAAATTTATATGCCACCCATCTCTCCATCAAGAAACTGTAGGTGGCTTACAATAAGAAGAAAACCGGATGCTAATGCCCCCAAGATCAGTATAAATGATTATCCATTGCACCTATACTCTGGTGTCATGTGTGGGGAGCCTAGCTTTTACAATTCTGGAATTTACAGTTCCAGTGGAAAGTAAGAAGTGGCAAAAACATCAACTCTAGGACCTCGGCTTGGCCAGAAAGACTGGGTTCCCCCTCCCCCCCCAGGAAGCATTGAGAATGTTAGCATGAGGCTGTTGTAACTTCAAATGGTCACTAAATGAATTGTTGTAAGTCGAGGACTACCTGTATCAATGGTAAGAAAAATTACATTGACCACATGATGAAGTTGCTTCTGAGATATTTTGTTATAGACCAGCCATCCACAACAACTGAACTATCTTAAGTGTGGGGTCCTTGGTGCTCTCTGAGCTTGGTTGCTTTCATTACCCAACTAGGTAATATAATCAGTGCTATAAGGGAGGGTGTTTGGGAGGAGGAGGAGGAGGAGGATTGTGGGGTCCTTGGTGTTCTCTGAGCTTGGTTGTTTTCTTGCAGACATTTCATTACCCAACTAGGTAACATCATCAGTCCTAGAAAGGAGGGTGTTTGGGAGGAGGAGGAGGACTGTGGGGTCCTTGGTGTTCTCTGAGCTTGGTTGTTTGCCTGCAGACGTCTCATTACCCAACTAGGAAACATCATCAGTGTTAGAAGGGAATGGGGAGGAGGGGGAGGAGGAGGACTGTGGGGTCCTTGATGCTCTCTGAGCTTGCTTGTTTTCTTGCAGAGGTTTCATTACCCAACTAGGTAACACAATCAATGCTAGAAGAGAGTGGGGTTTGCAAGAAAACCAGCTGGGTGACTTGGGCCTGTCACCCATTCTCAACCCAGCCCACCTCTCAGAGTTGTTGTCGTCGTGGGGAAAATAGGAGCATATTAGATATGTCTACCGCCCTGAGTGGTTAATTAAAAAAAAAAAGAATAACAAAGGAAGGATATCCATAAATAAAATAAATAATAAACTCACTGCCCTTGGGAGTGAATTCACTTCTGAAGCTAGAAAGGTAGCTCTGCATTCATCTTCCGAAAATAGAAAAGGCTTTTTTTTAAAAAAAAAAAAAAAAAAAAAGGAGGAGGAGGAGGAGGAGGAGCTAACGAAAGTCACTTTCTTAATGCGAAGTTGGATAAAGTTTGCCAAAAAGGTTGGGAACTAACTTTGCCAAATCGCGGCAAGCGTCCTGGAAGGGGAAAGAGAAAAAGAGAAGAAAAAAAAAGTACACGGGTCGTGTGAATGCGGCAAAGGACTCCTCCGCTCTTTCCATATTCAGATCAATTCCCCCCCCCGCCCCGTTCTGCTTCCTTTCCTCCGCAATGGCTCCAGGTCATCTTTCCTACCCAGCAATGAAGCCGGGGGGGGGGACTACTTTTGCTGCTGGCGAGGCTACGCAAGGGCATCTGTCACTCCTTGCTTGTTGCTATTAGAAATTATGGGACTGTACCATAAGCAGGAAACGCGGGGGGGGAGTGTGAGGGAGAGGAAGGGGGGGGTGAGAGAATTAAGCCGGCCGTTCCAACCTTCCCGAATTCGGTTTTTTTCTTCTTCTTCTTCTCTCCTTTGCGTTTAATACTAATAAAAAAAAAACACGAGCGAAAAACTATGGATACGAACGATGACTCGAAGGGGGTACAGCGGAAGGCGTCCTCCCCTTCGTTCCCGAATGGAGAACCTAAGCAGGAAAAGATATTCCGGTATTCCCGTCTAAGGCAAAACACCCCCCCACCCCCCCACCCCCCCACCCCGGCTCCAACAAATAAATAAATAAGTCAGCACCTCCCGCGTCCTCCTCCTCCTCCCCCCCTTCCCTACTGTAGATTTATTTCACCTCCGAGAGTAAACAGATATATTGCGAGCCCAAAAGGTTGCTGGGTAGTGTACTGTATTTACAAAGGGAAGGAAAAAACAGCGCCCCTCCACCTCCTCCTCTTCTCTCTCTCTCTTCCCCCCCCCCCATCCCATTAATGCGACCGATCATTAAGTGAGACGCTGCCTTTAGCAGGCTTAAAGAGTTCGCCCAGGAACGACTAAGAAGCGAAGGCACTGAAAAGCTTCCATCAATCTCTCTCTCTCTCTCTCACTCTCTCTTTTTTTTCCGGGGTAAGGACACAGGGCCCCGGTTTTTTAGCAAGTCCTCCTCGCTTAATTGCCCCCCCCACAACACACACACACACACAGAGACGCTTTGCAACCCTCTGTACCTTCCAACTGTCCCCGAGTCGCCTCCTCTCTCTTCCCTCTCCCCCCCCCCGCTCCCCCCCACCGACCCCCAACTCTGCCGTTCGCTCCGGTACATTTCATGACTGCCTTCTGTGATGTCATTTTGCAAAAAGGAGAGACAATAGGACTGGTGGCCGAGGTAAGTCCCGGGGTTAGTGGTGTTTCTCTGTGTGTGTGTGTTGTTTTGGTTAGGTTGGGTTGGGTTGGGTTGATTAAGCCGCTTACCGTATTTGTTTGCTGGCCGGCCTTATTGCGGGGACAAAAGAGATGGCTTGGAAGCTCAGGAGCGATGGAGTGTTTTGTGTGCTGCTGTTGGGCTGCTGTTTGTTGTTGTTGTTGTTGTTGTTTCCGGGTGGCAAAGGAACGGAGAACTCAGTAAGAATCACGAGAAGTGTGGAGCGAAGCCAGAAGGATGGGAAAGAAGAGGGGGGGGGAAAACGGATGGTGAACGTATCTATCTGTCTGCCGGGCTGTTTGTCTGTTTGTCTCTCCATCTGGAAGAGGTGGTGTGGAGCGATCCTTTTGAAAGACAACCCCCCCCCCCCCGCCGCCGCCATCCAGAGAATCTTTGTGGATCAAAGAGCCAGATGTTCTTGTTGGGTTATTTGATATTTCTGCATTTCGGTGGATCTGGCACACTGTGGATCTCGTTGGATTAAGTAGAAATAAAGCCCGTGGAGGGCGGGGGGGGGAGGGAAGGGGGGGGGAGAAAGTATAGGAAGTGAAAATGCAGGACTCTTTTTTACTCAATTCCCACACCCACCCCTCCACCCAATTGGAAAACTTTCCCGGCGTTCTTCAAGAAAGCGGATGAATGAATACCTTCGGAACTTGTGGGTGCTCCATCACTGGAGGTTTTTAAGAGATTGGACAGCTGTTTGTCTGAAAGGGTACAGGGTCTCCTGCTTGAGCAGGGAGGGAGGAGGGTTGGATTGCATTAGAAGACCCCCCCAAGGTCCCTTCCAATTCTGTTATTCTATTCTAAGTAAGGAGTCTAGAAGTGACCATCCAACCTAAATCGTCTTTTGCCCAGGTAAACGAAGGGAGAGTGATTGCGTTCCCTTTTGACGCTGTCCAGGGTCCTGAAAGGGTCCAGCGTTCGCTTCTGCTTTCCGGGCAGGCGTTTGAAAGACGGAGGTTTTTTTTGGGGGGGGGGGAGTTTAAGTGGAATATTTTTCACCGCTCTTCCTTTCTCTGTGGTTTGATAAAGAAGCTAAGTGACCCGGACCCCCCACCCCCCCCACCCGCCCCATGGAAAGGGAACACAACCTCTTTCTCTTCGTTCAAAAGTGAAGAGTGTTGTTGCCTGCACTTTCCAATGAAAAAGGAGTAAGGAGGAGAAACTCACTTTTTAAAGGGGCAAAGCGTTCGGAAAAAGAGCCGCCGTGTATAAGCTAAAACGTCAAAAACAACAACAACGACAACAACGAAGAGACACATCCTTTTCCGCTTTACTGATTCCTGGTCATTATTAGGTCATTTAGGCTGTTGTGCTGCTAGTCTAAGCATCAGGAACAACAAAAAGAGTGCAATGTTGGACTTTATAAACGTGCTGGAAGTCAGTTTTCTGCAGTCCGGAGGACATTCAGATGTGTCGGACTACAAAGACCATTACCAGACGGGGTTGATGGGAGTTGTAGTCTGGCATAGCTGAGCACCCTCGGGGTAGGAAAGCCTGCGATGAGACTTATTGTTCTAAACGCATAAACCACCAAGTTATCGCTCCCTTCTCTCTCTCTCTCTCTCTCTCTCTCTCTCTCTCTCTCTCTCTCTCTCTCTCTCTCTCTCTCCTTCTCCATTCCTTAACTTAAATATAACTCTCTCCCCGAATACCCTAATAAAGAGCTGGGTTGTCCAATGTAACCTGAATGTTTTATTTATGGAAATGCCATTTTGGAATGGCAAATAGGAAGAACTCATCCCCAAGTTATTATGCTAAAATTAGCAAGGGAGGCCTTTGTCTGCTTTGCGAAGCACACACTGTTTGCCTGGTGAACCTTGATTGTCGAACTGGCTACGAGGTGTGGATTGTTATGTTTATCTCGGTTCCCGATTTTATTTTATTATTATTATTTTAATATGTAAATGGAGGCTGGACCCTCTGTGGGCCTGGCCTAAAGTTTTCATGGCAACTAATCACTGTCACTGAAAGGAGTCTTTAGGGCTGTGCCAGTTGTGAACACAACTCTCTCTTAGTTTTGTGTTATTGCTGGCTGGCGTGCGTTTGTTGTGATCTGTGCAGAAGCACTCCGGGTGAAGTTTGTCTGCTTTCCAGTAATTGCATCCCTCCTGGTTCCCATTGGCTCATCTGCTCTGATTATCAGCTTCTTCCATATGTCCACTTTAATTAAAGGCAGACAAAAGAAGAAGAGGGGGGGGAAGGGTTATTATGGGAATTAAAGTTGAACAGTTGCTTTGATTGCAATAGGGGTGTTGCAACCGAGTAGTGGTGGAAAAGGACAGGTGGAGGGGGGGCTTGTGGGGTGCCCGCATTTGATTTTCATTTTGGCAACATATCTAGGATTGAAAAGGCAGAATATAAAAAAAAAAAAAAATCCCAGAGGACAGTCAGGTTATCAGCCAGTTCAGAATCGCCAACTGCGGTTTGCATTCCTTCTTAGTTCTTCAGGCAAACAAAGAGACAGAAGTACATCAAATATAGACCTAATCTAGACGGCAAAGTTTCCTAGCTTTTTTAGAAAGCAAACATCCAATAACGAAAGCAAGCATTCTTTACCTCCTCCAGTTTTTAGTAGCGTCTTTACACTGTTGGTAACTTATTCGCAGCGTGGGTGTGTCAATAGCTTGGATGCATGCACAGAAAACGGGGGGGGGGGGGAACCTGAAGTTTTGTCCAGTTGGAGAAGGAACACACAGATTCTCCAAACAAACCAGCATCTCTCCCTGAAAAAAAAAAAAACACCTTCTGGGCTTGGCTAATCACCCACAACTCTATATTTAAACCAGTATAAATAGAATGCCACGTGTGTAAATAGAATATACTACAAGGAGCCACGATCATGGGATAATTCGGTCTATATTTCTAGTTCTTTTTTTCTTAACTGCCTTTTAACAAGCCTGAAATAGATGCACATGCTTTGGAAACTTAAAAGGAAAGCTGCACGCAGAGTTTATGGGGCCGTTATGTTAGATTTTAAAAATACCCGGCCAGGGTTTATTTCATGGAACGCTCGTGGCTGACCCCGGTGAGTAAATTGACCAACATTTCATGACCTTGGAGTGAGTCCTAGAAATGGATCCTGCAAGGCCTAGATGCTCAGTGACTCCTACTGAGTTATGTAGAGCAGAAGAGGAAGCATATTAGGACTTCTCTGTCTAGATTATCTATCTGTCAAGAAGAGACTGGACAGCCATTTGTCCGGAATAGTAACAGCAATAGCACTTAGACTTATACACTGCTTCATAATGCTTTACAGCCCCCTCTAAGTGGATTACAGAGTCAGCCTATTGCCCCCAACAATCTGGGTCCTCATTTTACCGACCTCGGAAGGATGGAAGGCTGAGTCAATTTTGAATTGGTCAGGATCGAACTTCAGGCAGTGGGCAGAGTCAGCCTGCAATGCTGCATTCTAACCACTGAATCACTATGGCAGATATAGACAGACAGATAGACAGACAGACAGAGACAGACCTCTCTGAACGGCTTAGAGAGTCAGCATATTTGCCCCCAACAATCTGGGTCCTCATTTTACTGACCTCGGAAGGATGGAAGGCTGAGTCAACCTTCAGCTGGTCAGGATCGAACTGGTGGCAGTGGAATGCAGAGTTAGCCTGAAATACTGCATTCTAATAGATAGATTGGAATAGATAGATAGATAGATAGATAGATAGATAGATAGATAGATAGATAGATAGATAGATAGAATGCTTAGACTTATATACCACTTCATAGTGCTTTACAGGCCTTTCTGAGTGGTTTACAGCGTCAGCCTATTTGCCCCCAACAATCTGGGTCCTCATTTTACCGACCTTGGAAGGATGGAAGGCTGAGTCAACCTTGATCCGGCCAGGATCGAACTCCAGGCTGTGGGCAGAGTCATCCTATAATACTGCATTCTAACCACTGTGCCACCCACAGCTCTTGGTGGTATGGAATGGTATGGGGTCTCTTGCTTGAGCAGAGGGTTGGACTAGAAGACCTCCAAGTTCCCTTCCAGCCTTGTAATAGGTAGCCCTTGATTTACGACCACAACTGAGCCCAAAATTTCTGAGTTGCTAAGTGAGACAGTTGTTAACTGACTTTTACCCTGTTTTCCGATCTGTCTTGCCCCAGTGGTTACGTGAATCCGTGCAGTTGTTAAGTTAATAACACAGTTGTTAAGTGAATCTTCCCCTTTGATTTGTTTGTCAGAAGGTCGCAAAAGGGGATCCCATGACCCCGGGACACTGCGACGGTCATAAATACGAATCCCGTGACCATTGGGGGATGCTGCAACGGTTGTAAGTGTGAAAA